CCATTACCATTCCTAACAGCGCGCCGCGTTAGCCGCGCGTGTGTGTGTGTGTGCCGTACTTCTACTACTGCAAGGTTGTTATGTTCAGGGGGGCTCGCGGGCGTAGAGGCGATGGTTCACAAAGTACTCACTCGTGTGCTTCTGCTATGGACGTTTCTTTGCCTGGATAGAGCACTGGACACGACTAGAAATTCTGAATGTCGGAAAAAGTCGCCTGCCTTGGCGAGGTCCAAACGGGCAAAAGTTTCCCCTCGGTTTCCTCTATTAGTGCTGTCAAAAACCGCTTGAAATGCTCTAAAATACAAACGCTCTTTCAACAAATCTGTTGCCCTTTTAAGGGTACAATAGGACCGTAGTGCTTCCGGTCGGTCGCAAATACGTTTTGTATAAACATTTTCTTTCTGTAGCAGCAGCTTGAAAAGGCACAACTTTGGTTTTCCGGCGCCCCGGTCAGAAGACTGTCCCGTACGTCAGTTTGGGGATGTTGGCGGTTGGCTGGGCCCGGCGGGGCCGTCGGCCGTCGGCATCGACAGATACACATGTATCGCTTTTTAGGGTCTACCTGCGCGATTGACAAGACCCACCCCCGGTGCCGCCCGCCCCGCCAGCCCGACCCGTCGCCCCGGGCGCGGGGGGCATAACGCAAAGCGATAATTGCGGGTGCTATTAGACAGGAGATTCATCTCGGTTGTCGGTGCGCCCGCTCGCTGGCTCGCCCGCTGGTCCGCCTGCGACTGCCCCGCCCCCGTCTGCTCGCATACTGCTACCTACGTTTTTTATGCACTCACCTGCAGACGATAAGGCGACGATGTTTGCGAGTGTCAGAGTGTCGGAACAATGCTGGACAAATCTTTGTCCATAATCTCGGCTGTCGAACCATAACAACAAAAACCTCGATTTCACGAAACATATTAGTTAGAAAAACAAGACATTGTAAAATTACGTAAACTCGTGTGTACTCTTATTGTAAGATGTAAGGTATCACAGAACTGCGACTAATCTGTGTTTACTTGATTCACATGCAAAGCTCCAATAAGTGGCGTTGACGTTCGAAGCCCCAAATGAACAGCCACATGCACGCGTTTGGATCCGCTGCCGTCGAGCAGTCGGATCCGCCTCAGCAGCATCCCGAGGCGCCATAGGACGGGAATGCTCTGGCTCCGGCTCATTAGGCGCGCCCGATTTGAATTTCATTATTATGATGGTACTTTTTGGGGACACGGCGCCCTGCTCTAATATAATATATTTATAACGAGCGTCCCGGGCGGGCGATCGGGCCGTGTCGAGATGCTATCGGGGCAAATGACACAGAAGGACAACGGAACAAAATGAAGCTGTCGGGCCGGCGGTCGTGACAGTCCGAGGGGACGCGCCGGCGGCGTGCGGGGGAGCCGAGGGCCTCCCAGGCTGGTGTGGTGCGGGGCACCTTGTTGGAGGGTTGTGGTCATGTACCTTGTTTAAGGGTTGTAGTCATATGTACCTTGTTTAAGGGTTGTAGTCATATGTACCTTGTTTAAGGGTTGTAGTCATATGTGTCTTGTTGAAGGGTTGTAGTCAGTAGTCATATTGTACCTTGTTTGTTTAAGGGTTGCAGTCTTGAGTAGGGGTTGCATTTGCATTATAAAATGGTAGTCACATCACATATGATGTGTTGGGGACACGTTTCGGACTTCGAAGTCCGCAACAGACCAAACATATTTTAAAGGCCGCTTAAACAATTATTTGTTCACCATTTTTGAAATCCGAAGAGTTTGAATTTAAATTTTGAAGAGCAACAACATTGTTGCTTCAGTGCAGCTTCGTGCGTTTAAAACCGATTAAAATGTTGTGGTCTCTCGCCTGGTGCAGAGAGGCGAGCAGGATATGTTTTTTGACGCGTGCACACAACACGCGCGCGCCTGTACACACACACACACACACACACACACACACCACGTGCTGCGGGACCACCCCGGCCACACCGCCCCGCCCAGGTGGACCCTAATTGGGCGACCAAGGTGTGTTTGGCAGTCTTGGTGAAAGGCCCCGCTGTCTGTCCTTGTCGCTCTGCTGTGGAGCTGGGGCGCACGACGGAGTGAGAGCGAGCGAGTGGGGCGGAGGCAGTCGTGGACCTCTCACATCCCATCGCGTCACTGAGGCGTGCCTCGCTCTCTCTCTCTCCCTCTCTCTTCTTCTGGTGATCTCTTGTTATCACGTGACCGCTCCCATGACGGATCGTTGCTTATTAGTCGTAAATTGGGGAAACAGCAGCAGCGGCGGGGGAGGCCCACACCGGAGGAGGCGGAAATCCGGCCCAACGAAAAAACCGACGACAGTGTGAATTTATAATATAGCAAGGCACGGCACATGGTCAAGCTAATGTTATTAACAGCCTGCTTAATCCTCTCCACAGTATTCTCTGCGCGCTTTCAAGAAAAAAGACAAACTTTACCTGTAATTTATTTATTTTTTCCTTGCGTGGTGCGATTTTTGGGCGATGATAACATGCTACATGATGATTGAGGACAGGCGGTGTAACGATCGTTTGCAGGTCTGCCGTCTGTGCGGCGGGTCCTCCCCCGAGCGCAGCTCCGCGCCGCTCTACATATCATGGGGATCATAGCGACCATTCATCATCGTTACCGAGGTGGCCACCCGGCGGCTACCCCGTCACGCCGCGCGGCCGCCGCGCAGCAGCCGCCTATGGCGCAGCCCCGCGGTGAGGCCCGCGGTGAGGCCCGCGGTATTTGGTGACGAAGGCAAGGCACGCCACCGCACGTTCGCGCCGTGTGGGGCGCGAGGCGTGAGTGCGACAGCTCGCGCACCCCTCAAACCGCTCGATGAAATAACGTTTGTCTTACCAACCGCGGATACAATTTTTTTGTCTAGAATCCCTCAAGTTCTACATATACGGCTCGAGGACGCGGAGCAGTGTAGCTCTGCACGGTATAAGCAATATCTCATTTTTTGAGGGAAAGGGGAAAACTTTGAGGAACTCCCCTGGTTTGACATTAGATTTCGAGGAAGTCTCCTCAAAAAGTGGGATTTTTACTCATTTTTTGAGAAGATTCTTTAAAATCTGAGGTGAGATTGGAGGACTCTTCCTCAAACATTGCAGTTCCTCAAAGTTTTACCTTTTCCCTCAAAAAAAGAGACATTGTTTTTACCGTGTGGATAGATGACCGTTTTCAGTGTAACGCGACTTTTTGTTAACAATAGAGGAGTCAAACGTTCGCATTATGGACAGTGAAGGTTGAAAGAGGTTTCGGATGAATTTCTATGAAACCAAACTTTGGTTTAGATTCGCGGACGGAAGTTTGCACAAAAACATACACATTTAGCAGCGCGTGAGTTTTTGGCTTAATGGCATTTAGCGTCTGAGTTTTGGGCTTAATGGCCGCTTTTTATGCGCATTTGATAGTTTTTATAAAGTGTTTTCCATGACACCCGAGCTCCAAAGTTCAAGTAAAGTCTCCGGAAAATTTAACCCAACACTCCACCCCAAGTAAGCTGTAATTTTTAGTTTAAACGAGCCCCTTTTGGTGTATTCTTAGCTTTAAGGTAGTACGAGCGTGGTGAAATTAAATGTGTCTGAAAATGGAAACAAAAACCGGGGGTACTTTGAAAAATTTCACACCGATTGGTTACAAATTATTCTGGGGTTACCGATACTATAAGAAAGATTTCGTCGATTGAAATTCCTCCGATTTTACCCGGAGTCTTATGGGAGAGAGTGTCTTGGTCACGGGCAATTCGAAAATTAATTAAGAAAGAAATGTGAGTATTTCCGCAAACTGGTTGAAATAGATACATTATTAAATTATGAATGCAATGACACATTGATAACACCACCTTGCCGTTCATCTGAAAAAGATATTTAGAGTTATAAGTTGATATTTTATTCACAGTCGAAATGGCGTCGACGTTAACCTCGAAATTTTTCATACGGCCACTGACGGCGTTACCCGTGTTGATATTTTATGTTTATTGTATTTAACTTTTGGACACGTGACGTTTATTCTGTGCATACTCATGCGATTCTGCTGCGATAATCGCGCCATTGTAGTGAAGGAAAATGAACGACATAGGTCTGTATTTTGTTATATGACGTTGGATGTGGACGGAGAGGTTAGGGGCCGGCCTCGTCGTCTGCCTCGCTCGTCCAAAGTCAAACTATTTTAAATTTGCACACATATTTCTCAAATGTGTCAGGAGAAGATGCGAATCAACTTAATTTAAATACATACAATTTTAGCAACGGTTTAAACTTATTTAAAATTGTCTAGAAAGTTGTTGCAAGTTTAGTCTCTAGGCTGACTAGACTGAAGCGCTCGTACTACCTTAAATATGTTAGTTTTGTAGCATGCGGATCCTTTACGTGCGGCCCCCGACCGTCGGTATGTTAGTGCCGCTGGTATGTCGCCACCGCAGCCTGCCTTGCCTTGTGGTTTCGAGCATTAGCCTTCTAAACATCCCCGTGGTGGGGTCGAGGGTCGAGAGTCATGTTTGAAAAAAAAATATAAGATTTCCTTTACAAAAGACATAGGTGGGATAAATTGTGTAAACGCGAAAGTGCTTGGAGCAGTTGCCGAAATCAATATTTTATTTTACTTTCTCTTTCCTTAAAATTATGCAAAGTCTGCATGCTGATTTTATTAACATATTAGTCACACTAAAAACCAATGAATCAAGTCCATGAAGCATGCATTCACCCACCCTCTTGTGAACAGGCGCTATTCCGAGGTTTTCTGGGCGCGCTAGAGGACATTTATCTCCCCCGGAGCCCCTCTTCTTGCCGAGGCTGCTGCCTTCACTTCAACTTCAACGCCAGCACACTGAAATTTACATGCGAGTCCGTAAGTACCTTATTATCACCCTTATCCTCTCTGTCCGCGGCCGGCGCTCTCGCTCGCTCTCGCGCGCGGCGGGCAGTGAGTGAGCGAGCGCTATATGTTTACACACTCAAATACCTGTTCGCTGTGAGCCCGGCCCGCGTCATAATACAGATCGTTACTTTGTTGTGGTGAGGCCCCGGCCCCGGCCAGTGGGCTGCATGGAGTATGGGACCCGCCCAGTGGGGGCCTCCTCACTTATTTTTATGCGGTGGGGTCGCACGATACCTGTCTGTTCAAATGCAGGCGTTAGTGCGTCCACTTCGTGGACGAGTGAGTGGGTATATGCTGGGAGTGAGGGTACGACAGCATCGATTTTGACTTGCCCTTATAGTTTCCCTACTTAGATTGCACGGTGATGATTTAAATCAACTAAAATACAATTGTATTAAAAATAAGTTTTCCCTTGCCATTGATTGGTTTAGCTTACACTTACCTCATGTATGAGACTGCTGTAACAAACACCTTGGCTAATGTAGGACAGAGTGCTCCACATTAGTAAATCTGAATCACCCTGCTTTTGCTTTTTTTATTTTTACACTGGGAAAAATGCTTGTAGGTTTAACGGGAAAAATTTCCTTTGGCGCCTATCGTTAAACTACAGTTCAAAATTGTAAAATTACAAGCATCATGCATCGACCTGGAATTCATCGACGAGCAAGTTTGATGTGTCATCAATTTACAACATTTTTTTCCATTTAATTTTCATTAACAAAATATATTGTTGACCTAGGACTATATTTTACTCAGCGTAAACAGTAATAGCAATCTCACATTTCGTTGATCAGCCAGTGTTTACATTTCTACACGAAGGCTGCCATTTTTTTCCGCTTGTTTTGCGGAAGTGCTTCTCCCCTTTGCTTCTCTTCTCCGGACCGAGCTTATAGCGGTTTGCCTATCGGTTGAATCTCCCAGAACCCCTCTCCCTTCCTCCCCCTCATCCCCCGACCCGCCCATCCTCGCCCCTTTCACCTCCGCGTGTCGTGCGAGGGGTTGATTATGTTGTTTAGGGGTGTAAACGCCTATCAGATGGTCTCAGCACCACCACCCTAAGTGTTTAGCACGCGCGCGCTATCCGTCGGAAACACGTGGGAACACGAGTGGCTGTTTCCGGAACGGGGTTGGCGCCGCCTGTCGGGGCGGTGCGCGGTCAGAGTAACTCAGATTGCATCCCCCTGCTTATACAGGCGCTCACCTCTCTCTCTCTCTCTCTCTCTCTCTCTCTCTCTCTCTCTCTGATACGCGCTCCGAACAGCGCCGCGGCCCAAGGCGCGGTATCCTCTTTGTTCTCTCGAATCCTCTAAAAACGAACCGATCTTCCATATTTTGTGTGCGTGGCTCGGTGTCGTCCGATGCTCGCCCCATCAATGGAATTACCGCCTCATCAAATCGTCTTGGGCTCATGAGGGATCTTTATTTCCCTAAGCTGGGAGGCGCGGTCCCTAAACGACCCGAAGAAGAAGGGCCATTCGAAATGTGACACATTTTGAAACGGCCCTACTCCAGAGCCCCAACTTGTACCAGCGTCAGTCCGACTGTTATAACTTCATTGTCCAGTTTATCTTTTGGCGCTTGTCCCTCCGCCCCCCTCCTCCCTCTCCTTTACTCCGAGGAGAGCGACAACGAGGAGGTGGTTTATCCGAACATTTGAATAAAGCCTCGCTGCCCCCCTGCGGCGCTACCGGCAGAGGCCCAGCCCCAGGCCCCCTCCTCCTCCAGTCGTTTTTCTCGCTCGCTCGTTTGCTACGAGCATGGCCTCCCCGTAATATCTCTGTCATTCCGTCTTCGTCGCACGAAAGGGATGGGACCCCTAATGAGTGCGACGGAGACGACAACGCGGCCGTCCTCCGAGGCTGGCTGGAATGTGTTGCCCCTTTATTGGGGTATTTAAGCGGTTATTGGTTTTGGGACCGTGGAGAGCCACTTTAATGTGTCTCGCCACTGTCGCTTTATATTTTTGACAATAACTCACCTGATGCCGCCGCTATGCGGGCCTCGGAAGGGCGGCGGGGCCCCGTGCGTCTGTTGCCCCCGTGTGCCACAAATCTGTTGGTACGCAAGAGACCCAAGTGGACGGGATGACACACACTTTACGCGCGTGTGAATCTCCTTTCGTACACTTGTGGGTAGGTGAGTGAAATTTCAAAGGAAGCTAACACTCTTAGTTCCTTACAAACAGCAGTGTTCGTATTACAAGGAATCGGCAAACTGGGCAAACCGAGGGGTGGACAACTCCCCTGCCAAGTGATCACCCCTAATTCAAAACTAATTCAAGTAATTCAATCAAATTCAAGACAATGTACATTTAATTCAAGTCAATTCAAACCAATTCACGCTAATTCAGTAACATATAAAATCGCAATAATTCGGACCAATTCAACCAATTCAGTCCAATTCAAATTTAATTCAAGCCAATTCAAGCTAATTGAAATTCAATTCTTGAAATTTGTACACCTAATTTAGGAGTGAACCATTCCTCGGGGCAAACAGCCCCGGTTCGTATTACGAACGGTTGTAAATCCAAACCATAGTCTCAAACAATTTGTTTTTATAATAAATGCGGTCCAAATGCCTTGTACGCTATAAAGAGCAGTTGTTCGTAAGAAACTTGCAGTATACACCTTTACTAGCACAGGTGTCTGAATCGAAATTCGCCCACCTACATTCACATACTTCCCATGTAGCTGCTTTGCTTCTTGGAATTGTAGAACTTTTGTTGAAAAATAGAGCAGAGTTATTAAAGATGATTGATTTCTCTTACACGACAAAAAGAAAATTTGCGAAAGTACACCACTGGTAAAACAAAGGTGTGAATTAACACCTTTCTAGGGGCGTTCAGGTTAAAAGGGTGTTAACGTTTTAGTTTTTCCCAAATATTTTCTGATGAAGCAAACCAAGGTTTGTAGAACTTACATTTTCGCATTCAGCTCAAAATTCCACTTTGATCAAGCGTACATATGATAGGATTTAAGTCCCAAATGAAAGGAATTGAGCAGATTCCTGGGGGTCAGTTACTTCTTTCACCGTTCTTCAGACACACATCACATGTAGGCTCGTTCGAAGTGGAATTTTGAGCTGAGTGCGTAAATATTAGTCCTACAAAACTTTGGTTTGCTTCAGCAGAAAATATTTCGAAAAAATTAAAACGTTAACGCCTTTAAAAGGCGTGATTTTTAACCTTTGTTTTACCAGTGGCCTGGAAGGTGAAACTCAACATTTCTAATAATCTTTTTTTCAAGCTGAGTGCAAGGCCATGTTCGCAACACCTTGGGAAACACAACTATTTTGGTGTGGGCCATCAGCCCGCGTCCGCACGGACTCTGGTGCATGCATCACTGCATACCACCACACCACCTGCCTGTCATAAGCGTGCGCACGCCGGGCCCGCCGGGCGCTTCACGCGGCCGCGTCGGGTTTCTCGTCGATTTGTCCCGTTTGGGAGCAGAGCCCAGAGACGCCAGCAACTAACTACTACGACCAGCCTTCACCTGCCCCGCGTACGAGTTTTTAAATTTGTATATCGGAGGTAGAGAGACAGAAGGAGAGGAGGAGGGACGCGTGAGTGGGGGATCCCGAGATATAAAATAAGGCGCCCGGGCCGCTAAAACAAATAAGTCAGCGCTGTCGACGCGTCCACATACATCACCACACTTGCACGATGCCCGGGAAATACAAGGCTCATTTCTCGTTCGGAAGGGACTCGGCGTGGCTGGTGAAGGGCGTTAGGGCCGCGGGGCAGCCACGGACGACGAGCGTGCTCGCCACGGGCCGAGCGTGTGGGCCGGGGCCGCCACCGCCCCCCTCACTGTGTCTCTCTCCCTTCTCTCCCTCTCTCCCGCGTGTGAGTACCGGACCGGGGGGTTCGACCTGACAGCGATACCGGTGTTGTCCTGACGCGATGAAACCCCCTTCTCTCCTCACATTTAGTTGTTTGGGTGGCGCTGAGAAGGGCCCCATGCGTCACTCTCCTCAAATAATAAGGAAATTTACGGGGCGCGTTCTGAGGCGCCCCGGCGCGCGGCGCGTCTTCTCGTACACTGCGAAACGACGTGACGCACGCACTCCCGCAGGTTACAGCGCCGGCGTGGGCCGGGGCGCTAGCATAACGGCGGGCGCGAGGCGAGGGACCCCCGCGGGTCCCCAAATGAAGACACTTACTCGCGACGCTCTCCGGCCTGGCCTTTGGGCGTCGCTCGTCTCTCTCTCTCTCTCTCTCTCTC